TTGAAGATTATTCAAGTTCCCCGGTGTTCTACAACACGGGAGATTCAACGTTTTTTTAATATATATATATATTTTTTTTTTTTTTTTTTTAAATATCGAATTTTCTAATTATTTGAGGAACATGATAACACATATTCGGATTATTGTACTCGTTTGTACATTCATCATCAAATATTTCGTCAAAATCACCATCATCACCCTACCAAATTATAAAAATTAATAATACAAAGGAATATAAAAATTAATAATAATAAAAAAAAAAAAAATGAAAATTGATATGCAAGTTCCCGTGCTGTACAGCACGGGTAACTCCAATATTTTCCACATTTTTGATACTATTCGTGCTGTATAGCACGATTGTATCAACTTTTTTTTTTTTTTTAAATTTTTTTTTTTTCTTTCTTTTTACCATATAAAAGTTATTCGAGTCAGCCATTGAAGAAGTCGTTGTTCGTTTTTAAATTTGTCGAACGAGCTTCAAATTCTAAGTTTTCGATTTTTTTTAGTTGAGAGCGTTTCGGTTTTTTTTAAAAGTTAGAAAATTGACAAATGAGGCTACCGCTGCAAATAAGCCAATTTCAGTAAAAGTCCCGCTACAATTAGCATTTCAGTTTCCTCAAGGGAGAGAGAAAAGGGCGGGCAAAAAGTAGCGCCTTTTCGCATACGGCAGATGGAGACTGAAATTCAGCAGCTTGTAAGCATGGGCTTCCCCTCTGCCATGGCCGCCCAAGCCTTGTCGGCCGGCGGCGGCGACCTCCTCAAAGCCACCGATTGGCTCCTCAATCCTCCTCCCAACCACTCTCCGCCGCCGTCCAACTCCACCCCTCCAAATATCCAACCCAAAATCAACCAATTTTTCCACCTCCACACCAACAAAAATCAAACCCACCAAGAACACGACAATATCGACGGAGACGAAGATTCCCCTCCTCTTCTGCTCCATCGAAAAAAGCGTCAGAAATCAGCCGAAATCTACGAAACCACCCAGAAACCCTCGGCGGCGCCGCCGCCTCACGCGCCGCTGTCCGAAAGAATGCGGCCGCGCGTGCTGGACGAGGTAGTGGGCCAGGACCACCTCCTCGGAAAAGACTCCCTCCTCCGCTCCGCCATCGCCTGCGGCCGCCTCCCCTCCTTCGTCCTCTGGGGCCCACCCGGCACCGGCAAAACCTCCATCGCCAGAGCCATCGCCAACTCCTCCCCCCTCCTCCGCTTCGTCCCCCTCTCCGCCGTCACCTCCGGCGTCAAAGACGTCCGCGACGCCGTCGACGCCGCCAGAAAATCCAAAACAAAAAGAACCATCCTCTTCATCGACGAGTCCACCGCTTCACAAATCCCAACAGATTCCTTCCTCCCCGCCATAGAAGACGGCAGCATAATCTTCGTCGGC